CGAGTTGATGGAAGCTGGCTTCCATTGGGGGGCATCTAGATCATCTCTGCCCATCGGGCGGTAGTTTAGTTCACTTCAGCAGATGTGATCCCGGCCTTTGTGGCCCGTAATGCTGGGTGCTCATTTATGTTGCCCAAGGGTGGTGGTACTGTGGTCGTATTGGACCGCAGTTGCACTACAACTTATGTGAGTCTCCATGGTTATTTAGTATGAGTATTGGTGACTGTATCTATGTCAAGTATGAGTATTGGTGACTGTGTTTAAGTTGTGCTCTGTTCTGTATAAAATTTTCGTAGTTGCCTTGCTGATACCTTGCTGTCCCGTTATTTTGGGCAGCTTGGCCAGGTGTTGCAAATTCGGATGAATGTGATTTCATCTGGCAGACTGAAGGGTGTGTCTAATGGGATCTGGATACTCACGATGAGGCTTGTCTGTATAATCCTAAGTGCTCCTGATAGAATATTATGTCCGGAGTTTTTATGCCGATCAGCCACATACCTGTTTCCTTTGTGGCTTGTCGGGCCATCAGGCTGCTGGACGCTGAGCGGCACCATGAGTGTATCAACCTGTTCCAGGAGGATGACTTTCCTCCTCTGAAGGTCCCGGAGGATTCTGTGTGTAGTGGATGATGTGCCTGTGCCATCGGGGGTTGTTGAGCGTGCGTTGTGTGATGGGCCAGTGCCTGCTGCTCCCCTTGTTGGTGATGGGGGCCTCTGGGACATGGTGCGTGTTGTCTCTCTGCCGCCTCCCCCTCCCCCGCCTCCTCCTCCTCCAGCTGCTCTATCTTCTGTGGTGGACAGTGGTGGTGCGATGATGCATGCTGGGGGGATGTGTGCCTTTGTGGACGTTCCTGCGGTCCCACCAGTGTTGGTGTGTGGTCCGGTGCCTCCGGTAGTCGAAGCGGCTGCAGTGTTGCGTGACCGTGCCCGGCCTCCCTGTGGTTCTGTTGTGGCGCCTCTGGGGGATGTCGACAGTTCGGACGACATGTGCCCGGCGTCAAAGCGTTCCAGAAGGGTTCTAAGTTTTTCTCCACCTCGTGGTGTCGCCTGGGCAGAGGTGATGGACTACAAAGATCCTGTGTCCCCTGCTGTGGCACGTGGTGGTGGTGGTGTGCCTGCGGCCTCCTGAGGTGACTGATCGTGGTACGAGCGTGATGGTAGCGGGAGCCTCTGTCCCGGGGGTGGTAGATGGTGGGAGTCTCAGTACCTGCTACTATGCCCTCCCCTGCGCCAATTTGTTCAGGTTCGCCGGAATAGGAGGTTGTTACCCCTGCTGTCGGCGGTGGTGCGAGTTGTGACTTAGTTATGGACCTGTAGAATGATGCCGTCCGGCAGGACAACGTATCACTGGACCCTGTGTCACGGGTCACCGTCCAACCGGTGCTGGTGGTGATGAATATCCCTTACTGGATATTCCGGTTTTATTTATTAATTTATTTATTTATATACAAGAGGGTACATTGGATTTATGAGAGTAAATAGCATTGATGTTTTTACATTCTTGTAAAGCCACCAGCACCCATTGCGTTTCGCGCAGAAATCCCTTATCTGAATATGTGTTGCCCCCCGGGGTAGGCGCGGGCCCCATAATGCGGACAGATGGGCTGTCTGGGATGCGTATTGTGCGAAATATTCTCGGACTGAGCTTGTGGATAAGTATGAGTATTGGTGACTGTGTTTATGTTGTGCTCTGTTTTGTATGTAATTTTTGTAGTTGCCTTCATGTTGTTTTTGTTGTCTTACTGGCGTATTTCCCTGTGCTTATGTTTTGATGTGGCGATCCGGTGCCTGTTCTTTTATGCTTTTGTTCATTATGTACTTTGTTTATGCCAAATAAATAGAAACAGACGGTTTGCCCAGTGGCGCTCCGGTGCCTCGATATTTTTCTGTGTCTATGTCTGTATTTGTTTTGAATATGTTCCTGGGGTATTTTGCTTTGTAGAGTGTTTGTGTAAAATTGTTCCTCTGTTTTCCCATGTTATCTGCGTGGTACGGTCTGCTTGTGGCGCTCCAGTGCCTTGTTATTTTTATGTGTCTATTTATGTATATGTTTATACAACATAAAAAATATATATATAAAAAATTAAATACGAAAGTACTTAAGGAAATTCCTGCTTCAATTCTTCCTTCGTGGCCTGACACTGATATATATATATATATATATATATATATATATATATATATATATATATATATATATATATATATATATATATATTCGATCACCTCACCACCTACTAAATATGCCAGCAAATTAATTACTGACTATCTAAATGCAGAGTTTCCAGTGTTTTCTGGGAAGCCGTGTTTTAATTAGGGGAGCAGAGAGCCTTCCACTATTAGGTTTGCTGGGTAATAATGCACCTGATTAAACGGCCCAGGTAAATACCTGAGCTGGCTTATGGACCGTTGCCTGGATGGTGGTAATGGACACGTGAGGCTTCCAATACCGGTTGTGAGGCTTCCAATACCGGTTGTGAGGCTTCCAATACCGGTTGTAAGGCGCCCAATACCGGTTGTGAGGCTTCCAATACCGGTTGTGAGGCTTCCAATACCGGTTGTAAGGTGCCCAATACCGGTTGTAAGGTGCCCAATACCGGTTGTAAGGTGCCCAATACCGGTTGTGAGGCTTCCAATACTGGTTGTGAGGCTTCCAATACCGGTTGTGAGGCTTCCAATACCGGTTGTGAGGCTTCCAATACCGGTTGTAAGGCGCCCAATACCGGTTGTAAGGTGCCCAATACCGGTTGTGAGGCTTCCAATACTGGTTGTGAGGCTTCCAATACCGGTTGTGAGGTTTCCAATACTGGTTGTGAGGCTTCCAATACTGGTTGTGAGGCGCCCAATACTGGTTGTGAGGCTTCCAATACTAATTGTGAAGCTTCCAATACCGGTTGTGAGGCTTCCAATACCGGTTGTAAGGCGCCCAATACCGGTTGTAAGGTGCCCAATACCGGTTGTGAGGCTTCCAATACTGGTTGTGAGGCTTCCAATACCGGTTGTGAGGTTTCCAATACTGGTTGTGAGGCTTCCAATACTGGTTGTGAGGCGCCCAATACTGGTTGTGAGGCTTCCAATACTAATTGTGAAGCTTCCAATACTGGTTGTGAAGCGTCCAATACCGGTTGTGAGGCTTCCAATACTGGTTGTGAGGCTTCCAATACTGGTTGTAAGGCGCCCAATACCGGTTGTGAGGCTTCCAATACTGGTTGTAAGGCTTCCAATACCGGTTGTGAGGCTTCCAATACCGGTTGTGAGGCTTCCAATACTGGTTGTGAGGCTTCCAATACCGGTTGTGAGGCTTCCAATACTGGTTGTGAGGCTTCCAATACTGGTTGTAAGGCGCCCAATACCGGTTGTGAGGCTTCCAATACTGGTTGTGAGGCTTCCAATACTGGTTGTGAAGCTTCCAATACTGGTTGTGAGGCTTCCAATACCGGTTGTGAGGCTTCCAATACCGGTTGTGAGGCTTCCAATACTGGTTGTGAAGCTTCCAATACTGGTTGTGAGGCTTCCAATACCGGTTGTGAGGCTTCCAATACTAGTTGTGAGGCTTCCAATACTGGCTGTGAGGCTTACAATACCGGTTGTGAGGGTTCCAATACTAGTTGTGAGGCGCCCAATACTGGTTGTGAGGCTTCCAATATTGGTTGTGAAGCTTCCAATACTGGTTGTGAGGCTTCCAATACTGGTTGTGAAGCTTCCAATACTGGCTGTGAGGCTTCCAATACTGGTTGTGAGGCTTCCAGTACCGGTTGTGAGGCTTCCAATACTGGCTGTGAGGCTTCCAATACTGGTTGTGAGGCTTCCAATACTGGTTGTGAGGCTTCCAATACTGGTTGTGAGGCTTCCAGTACTGGTTGTGAGGCTTCCAGTACGAATTCATTTGCTTTGTTTGTTACTCCATCAACATTTGTATACATTAAATCTGTCTTTGTTCAATTTCCAGTCTGTGTTTCACTTCTCCACATTCATCTTAAAGGAGGGGAGGGGGGGGGGGCCACGTTTGGACATGGGATAGGGGGTTGGGGGTGGGGGGGGGGGGGGGATGGAGGTGAGTGTGCCCCATTCTGGTTCTCATGGGGGGGGGGTGATGATGGGTCAGGGATATAATGTGCAACATGGAGGGATGGGTTGTGAATGCAACAACAAGGGTTATGAGAGATGTTATGGGTATTTCTGCCATGTATATGGAACTGTATGTGCTTGTATGTGTGTGTGTGTGGGGGGGGGGGGTCTGAGTACTCGTCTAAATGCATTCACCACTATATATACTTAAAGGGTCGAGAGCTAGCTCTTGAGCCTCTATATACCATCTAGTCAGTTGTCTAATACAGTAACTCCCGACCACCCTATTTCTCGTCATGTTTCATAGTGTATACAGGTGTGTGAACAGGTGTGTGTACAGGTGTGTGTAAAGGTCACACACACTAGTACAGGTGTGTGTGTACAGATCACACACACTATTACAGGTGTGTGTGTACAGGTCACACACACTAGTACAGGTGTGTGTGTACAGGTCACACACACTAGTACAGGTGTGTGTGTACAGGTCACACACACTAGTACAGGTGTGTGTACAGGTCACACACACTAGTACACTAGTGTGTGTGTACAGGTCACACACACTAGTACAGGTGTGTGTGTACAGGTCACACACACTAGTACAGGTGTGTGTGTACAGGTCACACACACTAGTACAGGTGTGTGTGTACAGGTCACACACACTAGTACAGGTGTGTGTGTACAGGTCACACACACACACTACTAGTACAGGTGTGTGTGTACAGGTCACACACACTAGTACAGGTGTGTGTGTACAGGTCACACACACTAGTACAGGTGTGTGTGTACAGGTCACACACACTAGTACAGGTGTGTGTGTACAGGTCACACACACTCTTACTGGTGTGTGTGTACAGGTCACACACACTATTACAGGTGTGTGTGTACAGGTCACACACACTAGTACAGGTGTGTGTGTACAGGTGAGGTACTCACGGGAGGGGGCGTGGGCGCGAGGAGCTCAGCCCCCAGCCACCACTGCACTATGGGGCGGGGGAAGGCGCCCACGACGCGGCAGGTGAAGGGGGCGGGGTGGTCCGCGGCGACCCACGGTCCAGGGGCAGTCAGCCGCACACCCAGTGGCGGAACTGTGGGGAAGAGAGCTTTGTATACTCACTCACACTCACACACACACACACACATACACACACACACACACACACACACACACACACACACACACACACACACACACACACACACACACACACACACACACACACACACACACACACACACACACACACACACACATACACACACACACATAAGGGGCCTCGTAGCCTGGTGGATAGCGCGCAGGACTCGTAATTCTGTGGCGCGGGTTCGATTCCCGCACGAGGCAGAAACAAATGGGCAAAGTTTCTTTCACCCTGAATGCCCCTGTTACCTAGCAGTAAATAGGTACCTGGGAGTTAGTCAGCTGTCACGGGCTGCTTCCTGGTGTGTGTGTGTGTGTGTGTGTGTGTGTGGTGTGGAAAAAAAAAAAAAAAAGTAGTTAGTAAACAGTTGATTGACAGTTGAGAGGCGGGCCGAAAGAGCAAAGCTCAACCCCCGTAAAAACACAACTAGTAAACACACACACACACACACACACACACCCATATACAGTTGTGAGTAGATTACAATAGCTTTGTAACACACCACCAGCATGGGTTCACACATGGTAAATCGTGCCTATCAGGTTTAATAGAAATCTATGATCAAGCAAAAAAAAAAAAAAATAGGAAAGAAAGAGACGGGCGCGCAGACTGCATTTTCTCGGACTGTCAGAAAGCCTCTGACACAGTACCCCATAAAAGGCTGTTACGAAAGTTGGAGCAACAGGCAGAAATAAAAGGTAAGGTGCTCCAATGGATAAGAGAGTATGTAAGCAACAGGAAACAGCGAGTAACTGTGAAGGGGGAGACATTAGAGTGGCGAGATGTCACCAGCGGAGTTCCACAGGGCTCTGTACTTGGACCCATCCAGTTTCTAATATGTAAACGACCTTCCAGAGGGTACAGACTCATTTCTCTCAATGTTTGCTGATGATGCAAAAATTATGAGAAGAATCAAGACAGATAAAGATAGAGACTACAGGACGACCTGGACAAACCGGAGGAATGGTCTAGAAAATGGCTGCTAAAGTTCAACTCGGAAAGTGTTTTTGTAATGAAATTAGGCGAAGGGAGCAGAAGGCTAAACACAAGGTACCATCTGGGAGGTGAAATCCTGCAAAAGTCAAATAGAGAGAAAGATCTGGGGGTTGATATTACACCGAACCTGCCCCCCAGAGGCCCACATCAAAAGGATATCATCAGCGGCATATGCTAGATTGGCCAACAAAAGAACTGCCTTTAGAAGCTTGTGTAAGGAATCGTTCAGGCTCTTGTGTACTGCTTATCTCAGACCATCTTGGAATATGAAGCTCCAGCGTGGAATCTATACCTAGTTAAACACAAAACAAAGTTAGAGAAGATTTAGACGTATGCCACCAGACTAGTCTCGAAACTGAGAGGTAAGAGCTACGAGGAAAGGCTAAGGGAGCTGAACCTCACGTCCCTGGAAAACAGAAGAGTAAGGGGGAGACATGATAACCACCTACAAAATTCTCAAGGAATAGACATGGTGGACAAAGACAAATTATTTAGTACGGGTGGGACACGAACAAGGGGACACACGTGGAAACTTAGTACCCAGATGAGTCACTGAGACATTAGAAAGAACTTCTTCAGTGTCAGAGTAGTTAACAGATGAATGTATTAAGCAGTGATGTGGTGGAGGCTGACTCCATACACAGTTTCAAATGTAGATTTGATCGAGCCCAGTAGGCTCAGGAATCTGTTCACCAGTTGATTGACAGTTGAGAGGCGAGACCAAAGAGCCAAACCTCAACCCCCGCTAGCACAACTAGGTAAGAACAACTAGGTGAGTAAACACACACACACACACACACACACACACACACACACACACACACACACACACACACACACACACACACACACACACACACACATGTTTACACGCATAGAGGTAATTATGTACATAACAAACACTAACATGGGGGTTCAGGTTTGGGAAATCATGCCTGACAACCCTTCTGGAATGCTATGATAAATTACACAAATAAAGCAGGACAGGGAAGGATGGGCAGACTGCATATTTCTGGACTGCCATGGAGCCTTTGAAACAGTACCTCACAGGAGTACCTCATGGATCAGTGCTAAATCCAATTATATTTCTAATATACGTAAATGACATATCAACAGGAGTTGATTCTTATATGTCGATGCTCGCGGATGACGCAAAATTATTAAGAAGAGTTGTGACAGACGAGGATTGTAGGATCCTTCAAGAGGACTTGAACAAGTTGCAGAGATGGTCAGAGAAATGGCTACTGAAGTTCAGTACCAGGAAGTGTATAGTTATGGAAATGGGACTAGGTGACAGGATACCAAAGGGACACTACACAATGAAGGGACACGACCTACCTTCGACAATTCGAGAAAGAGACCTGGAAGTGGACGTAACACCTAATCTAACTCCCGAGGCACACATAAATAGGATAACGACAGCAGCGTACTCTACACTGCAAAAAAGTTAGAACATCATTCAGAAACCTAAGTAATGAGGCCTTTTGAGCGCTTTACACTGCCTACGTGAGACTAGTCTTAGAGTATGCCGCCCAGTCATGGAGTCCCCCACCTGAAGAAATAGATAAAGAAACTGGAAAAGGTTCAGAAATTTGCAACTAGGCTCGTCTCATAATTGCATGGGATGGGGTATGAAGAGCGACTGAAGGAACTAAACCTGACGACGCTAGAAAAAAGGAGGGAAAGGGAGATATGATAGTGATGAATCAATTGCTTAGAAGGATTGACAGAGAGGAAATAGACGAAATGGTCATACGGAATACCAACAGAATAAGGGGGCGAGGGTGGAAGCTGGAATCTCAAATGAGTCATAGAGATGTTACAAAGTTTTCTTTTAGCGTGAGAGTAATGGGGAAATGAAATGAACTAAAGAAGCACATTATGGAAGCAAACACTATTCATAGTTTAAAAACTAGATATGAGAGGGAAGAAGGACAGGAAGGAAGGAAGAAGGAAGAAGGATGTAAGGAGTTATTGCTTTCAACAACCGGAGGCTAGAAAGACGGAATCCAAGAGCCAGTCCGCGATCCTGCGGGCACAGATAGGTGAGTACAAACGGGTGAGTATACACACAATTGTATGTGTTAGGGGCCTCGCGGCTGAGTGGACAGCGCTCAGGAGTAGTAATCTTAAAGGAGGTGCGGGGGGGGGGACATGATACACACGTATACTTAGAGGTTACATTTATACGAATATTTAGGGTATGTTAAGTATAAAAAATCTAAAGGGACTGACGGGGTGGAAACAGGAAATGTTTATAATGAATGTCAACAGAACAAGGGACGGGGGGGGAGGGGGGGGGGCATGGCTGGAAGCTTGAGACTCATGTATGTCATACAGATGTTAAAAAGTTTTCCTTTAGCCTGGTCGACGACCGGGCCGCGGGGACGCTAAGCCCCGGAAGCACCACAAGGTAACCTCAAAGTAGCCTAAGGGTAGTGAGTAAATGGAATGATCTTTAGGAGCAGGTTGTAGAGACTAACTCAATTCATAACTTTAAAAGCAGGAATGATAGGGAAAAAGGCCAGGAATCACTGCATTAGACAACAACGGCTAAAAAAGTGGGGTCCAAGAGCTAGAGCTAGATTCTGCAGACACAATAGGTATGTACAAATAGGTGAGAACACACACACAGGGATGTTAGAAATAACATTTTAAGTGTAAATAAAAAGTGAACAAATATCACAGAAGAGAGGGAGAGAGAGTACCGCCAGGTGGTAAGGCGGAGCTCAGGAGCTAGAGTGTGACCCAGCCAACACAAGGGAGTACTGGCACTTGAGCGTGTCACACAACTGGACACTGGAGCAGAGTATCAGAATGTGTGAGGCGAGACAGGTCCAAGTGACTCCAGGCGCCCTGCACATGGTGGCACTTCCTGACCACGTAAGTGAAGAAGTTACTAAAGTAATGGGAGGAAGGGAGCAGAGTAAGGCGAGGGGAGGAGGTGAAGGGAGGAGGTGAAGGGAGTGTGAGAGGAACACTGAACGTATAGGATGAACACTGGTGGTGTGAGAGGAACACTGAACGTATAGGATGAACACTGGTGGTGTGAGAGGAACACTGAACGTATAGGATGAACACTGGTGGTGTGAGAGGAACATTCAGAGAAATCCTAGCGGACAGAGGCGAGCTGGGAGGAGCTGGGAGGACCTGGAAGGACCTGGAAGGACCTGAAAGAACCTGGGAGGACCTGAGAAGAGGATCAGAAAGGACCTGAAAGGACCTGAGAGAACCTGAGAGGACCTGGGAGGACTTGAGAGGACCTAGGAGGACCTGAGAGGACCTGGAAGGACCTGAAAGGACCTGAGAGAACCTGAGAGGACCTGGGAGGACTTGAGAGGACCTAGGAGGACCTGAGAGGACCTGGAAGGACCTGAGAGGAACTGAGAGGACCTGAGAGGACCTGAGAGGACGTGAGATGACCTAGGAGGACCTGGAAGGACCTGAAAGGACCTAGGAGGACCTGGAAGGACCTGGAAGGACCTAGGAGGATCTGAGAGGACCCGGAAGGACATGAGAGAACCTGGGAGGACCTGAAAGGACCTGAAAGGACCTGAGAGGACCTGGGAGGACTTGAGAGGACCTAGGAGGACCTGAGAGGATCTGGAAGGACCTGAGAGGACCTGAGAGGACCTGAGAGGACCTCGGTGTTGTAGCAGCCAGGTGCTGTAGTGGCGAAAAACGCCAGCCTTCTCTTATGGGACCTCAGGCCTATATACTAGTGGCTTTACAAGAATGTAATTACTATGCTATGTATCCTCACAATCCCAATGTACCTTCTTGTATATATATAAATAAATAAATAAATAAAATATATCCCAGCCTAATAAAACACGTCCTCTCACATACTGGGTCGTATTTGTTGTTTACGGAATCGTCTACGCCACAGAAAATACGACTTATTAGTGGACATTATAGCTCGGTAACTTTGACGTTTTCTGCCTCGATAG